TAGCTTGTTACCTCTAGGTTACAGTGATTCTGATTTCCAGTCAGATAGGGACGAGATTAAGTCAACCTCAGGTTTTGTGTTTACCTTGGGAGGTGGAAACATTTCATGGAGGAGCGCTAAGCAGAAATACGTGGCAGACTCCACCATAGAAGCCGAGTACATAGCAACCTCAGAGGCAACGAAAGAGGCAGTCTGGCTCAGAAACTTCTTAATGGACTTAGAAGTAATTCCGAGTTTGCCACGTGGTATCACCATGTACTGTGATAACAGTGGAGCAGTAGCAAACTCAAGGGAACCACGAGCCCACAGAGCAAGTAAACACATAGAGCGCAAGTACCATCTGATCTGAGAGATAGTTGGTAGAGGAGACGTTGATGTTGCCAAGATTGCATCTGAGGACAACCTAGCTGATCCTTCCACGCAGAGTTTGCCTGAAGAAGATCTTCATCAAACACGTGACGGGAATGGGAGTCAAGTGCATGGCGATAGGATGGACATAGGTCTTCTAGAATAACGGATTGATAGGACTATACTTGTAAAAGCGAAAGCTTTAAGTATAAGTGGGAGATTGTTAGTGTTATATAGTGAAAGCTTGGCTTTGGATGATATTACACTTTTACCCTTTATAAATGAAAAACATGTTAGATTAAACAAGTTATACGGTCTGTTGTTTTGCGTTAGATAGTGTGGGTCGTCATTGGGCGAACCGAAGATCAATCTATCAGTTACTCGCGAAACAAGAATAAGTGGTGCACAACCTAGATGGATATGAACACCCCAACGTGAACGGTTGTAGTGTCAACCGTACAGTTTGTCTTGACTGATTAGTTGCACTAGTACATTTATGTATTGAACAGAATCCCAGAGAGGAGCAGTTCGTTTTATACGGATCGTCGTAAACGGAGTAGGCCTCGGTTAATTACTGCGTACTCTTAACCCGTATGATATTAAATAGGCATATAAGGATAGTACTTATTACTTTGATTCACATGAGTGAGACTTAGTGAACTGGGTCAATAGACCCGCTGTATTGGGTAATATTGCTGCATGTAGGATTTGCTGTTAGGATATTTACGGTCACCATGTGCGTTAGTTTGATGATGTCCCCGGAGTGAGTTCATGAAGGATTATTATGCTAAACCCTGCAGGTGGATAAAATTCCGGCATAGTAATAACGTGATGAACGAGCGCTAGCTTCAGTGAAATAATAATAAATTAATCAATTCTTGATAGTCAGTAATCAAATTAATTAATGGACATTATATCTTGAACATGGGGATATAAATCGAGTAATTATTATTGGAGTCTCAATTGTAAATTGGGCTAGGAAAAGGGAGTGCAATAATATTATGTTGGTGGCCCATATAATATTATTTCATTAATTAAATAAGTGGCTTGGTCCACAAGTATTTTAATTAATTAAGGAGTCCTTCTCATAATCTCCTAAGGGTCCCTACTGTAGCTCTATATCTACATCATTAAGCTCATGGGAAGAGAAGACAACTCCACAACTCGTGAAACATGCCCCACGCGATATTCTCTCTCTCAATTCCCATTCAAGCTTTATCTTCTTCTTGTTATTCCACCGGTACAAGGTTAAGAGGTGTTTGAGATATACAGTAGAAGATCTTTGGGTAAACCGAGACGAAATATATTTTGTCGTACAGAACTAACCAGAGGTCTGATCAAGACGTGCAACATACCTAGACAACTGTCTCGACGAGAGCTTTCCAACGCCACCGAGATCGCAGCCGTCCGAATTTTCACGCGCCCGCACACACCGCCGTAAGTTCCCAGACTGCAAGTTTTTCCTTCATTTGTTTGCACCCGTTTGATCCAGTTTTCGATCCGATCTTGTTCGTGCAACCCTAGGACGCAATTTGCAGTCAACTTTTCATTGGTGTGCTGGGTACGACCATCCAGAAGATCAGCCAGATCGCCATAAGTTTTAAGCCGTAAGTTCTCTACGCAAACCTTTAGATCCGCTGCGCATAGGTTTACGTTTGCTATTGAATTCGTGATTTGTACATAACGAGATCCTCATAGATCCCAACAATGTCACTACAAGAAATCTGCCAAAAAGTGACGAAATTCATGCGACGAAAAAAAATCGTCACCATTTGTTGTCTTATGTTGACGAATTTAAAAAATCGTCATTACATCATTGCATACGACGATGACTACTACATTCGTCATCTTAGAATTTATTTTTCGTCACATAATGGTATTTTCACGACACTGCACCAAAATTTCGTCACCTATACATCTAAATCCGTCACATGTATATAAAATGTGACGAAATTAAATGTGACAAACAAAATGTTGTCATTATTGTTGTTATTTAAAATGACGCTTACGACTAATTCGTCATTATATAATTACTTATTGTGACGATACGTTATAATACATCTAAATTCGAAACACTCATAGATATTATGACGAAATTCAGTGCGACGAAATAAATTTCGTTGTTTTTTTATTTATTTAAAATGATGCTTACAAAAGACTCGTCATTATATAATTTTGTTTTGTGACGATAAGTTATAATTCATCTAAATTCGTCACATTAATACATATTATGATGAAATTCAGTATGACGAAAACAAATTCGTTTTTTTTTTTTTTTGTATTTAAAATGACGCTTACAAAAAATCGTCATTATATAATTTTGTTTTGTGACGGTAACTTATAATACATCTAAATTCGTCGCATTAATACAAATTATGACGAAGTCACTGTGATGAATCAAATCGTTGTGTTTTTATTATA